TTTTGAAAGCATGCTAAGTCATTAGAAAGTTGTTGATGCACATAAAATAGAGCATACACGAGATAAGGATCACACCAACATCAAGAATGATCTAAACCAAAGAAATTTTATCATAAAGTCATGGTAACATTTCATGTTCAATAGTTTGTATCAACAAAACATACAAAATACCTACTAATGACCCTATCCCAAGCCTACAAGGGCAATGATCATGTGAAGCCCCATAAAATGACATAATCCAGTAAACCATATAGGATACCATAAGTAATACTTTTCTTCGTACAACTTATATCACAAGTAGTGGTCATCACATTTAGCAATATAGACTTTCAACATGTTGATCAACATAACAAACATTATATAAGAGAAACATAATATATCATAACCATTTTACATTTAATGTTATCATATTTAATAAGAAAAATCTCCTAGGACTTCGCCAAGAATCAACTTGTGCAATGTCTAGGTAGAGTCCCATAACCCTACATATACTAACTAGACTTCGAAAGTCACGGTAGTCAATGTTCATTTACTTTAGTGTTTCATTTTACTTGAGGGAAAAATCCCCTTAACCGACATTAGACCATGTGAGCTAAACATGGAATCCGGTTTCATGGTACCCCACACCGAAGGAACGTGGTCTACTTTCCAAAGTAGAAACAAAACATAAACATAGCATTCTAGGTGGATTCACTACCTATTATTCCTATGTAGGAAATATTGTTCAAGAACTAGGAGATATATTTGACACCCATAATTCCACATTTCATGGAAGCCTCTATCTCATGAGATTCATTGTGAACCTACATTCAAACTTGGGAAGGGATACCTCTCATATCTAGTTCATGCAGTACTAAGCTATAATCCCTGTTTTTATTAAATTTAAGTTATCATTAGTCAGCAATCTTATCATAGGTCGTAGGAGATTAACCCCTTCTCTAAACAAGATCATTATCTCATTAGGTTTGGGATGAGAATTTCCTTTCATCACAACCATTCATTAGTTAGATTAACATATCATATTTTCATAACAACATCATACATACTTCAAATTGCATAACATCATCAATTATAGGCCAAACATCAACATAATAGACTAATAACGTCTTTAGATTTCTTACCTATTGCTTCCAAGAATCTTTATTAAGAACATACTCTTAATTACCCACAATCATCCAGTAATATAGTGAAATACACCATATCATAACCAATCCCAACCATTCGAGTCATATACACGACATATTCATAGTAAGGGTTAAGGGAAAGGGTTCATTTGTGAGTTCATTAAAGATGTAGTTCCAACCCCAACATCTACATGACATAAGTGAAAGATATAATATACTCAAATCCATAAATTAGGGAGAGAAAACGCTACAAACAAAAACAAACAATTCCATCTAAATTATTCAACAATTCATACTTAAAAATACACATAGAAATTTATAATTCATCATCATTTGTCATAAAATTTGAGTTAGGAAGAAAACCCATTTATAGAGTAACAACCATAGGATTTGAATTGTTAGAAATAGCCTTTGAGAGGACCTCTTTGGGAATGAAATCCCAACAGTTAAGAACCTATACCTTTTTGACAATTCAAATCCACAAATTTTGAATGAAAACCTTGGAGACTTTGTCTTCAAGCTTTCTTGTTCTTCAATGGTGGTTGAATAGATAGAGTTTTGAGAGAGATATCACATATGAGGAGCGCCCTCTAAAAGTAACCAGTGTTGTCGTCCTCAAAGAGGACTAAGACTAACCTTTTAGAATTCGTCATTATATTTCATAGGTTAAAAAGTACAGAAAATTAAATCTTTTAATCTAAAACTACTTCATGAGGTTTACTTAGACCTCTTACTTACACATATTATATTTATAGCGTCTATATAAAGATTCATCGTATAAGGAGATTACATAGTCTTCTACTTTTATGCCACATATGGACGACATACATAATATAGTCTTAAAAAGGAATATGTCATATTAAGACAAATAGATGGAATAAAATATTACGAGCATAGACCTTACACAAATGTAAAAGTGCCACTTAGGGATTACAATAATATCTTGAACAACATGAGTGAAATGAGTGTCTTTAGACTATCACAAAGGACATAGGTAGAGTGATAGAAAATCATAATCCTCAGAACATGAATACATACCCTCACCTGGAGAAATTATCCAATCCTTCTTTCAAAGTGGTCACAAACCCTTCAATGGCTGGAACCTAAAATATTGGGGAAAAGGAAAAAATGGGGTTAGCACATCACTTGTACAATGTATGGAATCATATGCTCATACAACATAGAAGTCATGCTAAAATGGACATTTATTCAAAAACCATGTCAAGTTACTTTGAAAAACCTTATGCACAATTAAGAACACATATAAGACAATAATCACCTATTTTTTAAGATAATAGAAAATTCAACACAAGACCACCCTACTCAAGTTGATCCAAGTAAACATATTTATACCCTAATAGAAGTAGTAATCAAGGTAACTACAACATCACGTTAAAACAACAAAGCATAAATAAAAATTCATGACATTATACCTAAGCAAGACCATTACTCATAAACCCCCATTAAGTCTATAAGTGAAATGACCAAGTAAAGCCCCATAAGCTTACCCAATCAACATAATCAAATAAGGAATCCTAAGAAATGCAACATGGTATTAAGAGTAGTCATCATCATACTTTATCAATAATTATTAACATGTTCATACATGAAATTAAAATCATATAGTATCATCAACATATAAACATATAGAGTCAACACATACAGTTTATTCACTTTATAAGAGCATAAATCATAAGAATATCCTCCTAAGACTTCCCTCAATATAGTACAATGTACAGGTAGAGTCAAATACCCCTTCCAAGAGTAAGTCAAACCCCTCAAAAATCCTAGTTGGAGTCCACTTTATTACTTCATTTTACATTCGGGAAGATCTTGCGTTAAGCAACATAGACCACATGAGACAATGTGAAATACGGTGACATGGAACCCTACACCGAATGAAAGTGGACTACTTCACAAGGTAGTACCAAAACATGAACATAACATCTATGTGGATCCACTAGCTAGTATTCCTATGGGGGCAACAAAAAACAAGTACTAGGAGATGTAGTTGGGACACTCTTTTTGCTACATGCATTATAATCTCCAATCTCATGAGTACACAAGTGAAACTACAAGAAAAATGTTTCTTAACGAAGAGAAATATGGTCGTTATAAGTCTAAATTCGGTTACTAAAACCAATTAACAACCGGCATAAATCCAGTCGCCGTCGGTCGTTAAAAGTCCTTACGTTAAAAATTAACGAGCGAATTCAAATCCGGTCGTTAAAAATTTCTTTTAACGACAACGTAAATTCTAATCATTATATGGCATTTTTTACGACCGGAATTGCTCTTTGTAAAAGAACTTCTAACGACCAAAAATATTTTCGTTAATTATATTCCACTTGCAATACAAATACTATTAACGACCACATTTCCTGTCGCTAATTGTAGTTTATTCAAATAATTTTAAGAAGCCAATTATAAGAGTGTTAAAAGGAACAAATTTCATTCATTATTATACAATATTCTATAAAGTAAATACAAAAAGACACAAAATAAACTAAATAATTGAATTCATTATAGAAAATCTCATGCTTAATTAAAAATAATAATTAAAAAAATATATATGATATTCAAGTAGCATAACATATCTTTAACATCTCATAAAAAGGAGAAAAATTGCAAAGGTAAACGATATGACACTGTCTTTAATTTAAACCACCCCTAACTAAAGTGAATGCCATCTTGAACTTCTACTTGATTTGTACGTTGATGAACAGTTTATTCTTCATATTGACATTAAAACTCTGTAAGATAAAAACTTATGTCAATTTAAAACAAGGAATAAAAAAGTATGTAATAAACATACTTTAAAAGATGCAAAAAATACTTGTGAATATACACTTGAGGCAGCAATAGTAATAATAGTAGCAAATGTAACATTCATATTATTTACAACTTAAATTACACTATGAACATTTAAATATTTCAAATGGAAACATATGTGTATATCAAGTGAAAAAATATAACTCCTCAAACAATGAGGTAAGGAATATCTCAATAAGAATATGAATACTTAGTAGGTGATATGAAATGAAATGGTACACGAACATAGGAACTAATAATGCACATGGGCAGTTTCAAATCAAGACAAGTGTATTTCAACCAACAACATATATATGAATTGTATAATGTTTTAAAAAAAAAGAAGGCATGTCAACAATTTAACAATTTTCTGCAATGATCAACAATGGTTTTGTATGGCCAACAAAAAGGACCATCAGACCAAAATTTTGGAAGCACACTACCGATTCAACAATGAAATCACACAAGAAAATGTATGAAAACTATCAGACAAAAATAGAGAGAACATCCAAAGGCACGAAATTAGTTTTTTCTAAGAGGGAGGCATAATATATTTTCTTCTTGCTACGGTAAAATCTATAATATAAATGAAGCAGAACATGAAACATTCCAGAGTTGCCAATACGAAGATTTGGTGGATATAGATTCATTAGGCCTAACAAGGATGATCAATAAGGATTGAAATTTCTATGGAATACACAAAAAATAGGGGAGATACATATACTTCATGGAACAACGCATGAATTATAGTACATAGAACAGAGAAATAAATCAATTAGAAGACATATTGGAAAATGAAGCATTCCTGCAGCAGGAAGGGATTCAGTGGAATAATTTTAATCAACTAACAATTGACTGTAAGAGAATAATAAACATGGATAAAATAGGCATGCCAACATTGAGAATTAAGAGAGGAAGGGTCAGCGTATAGATACAGTTATCAACGCCAAGCTAATTCATTCCGTACAATGGGAGCAACATCATATTGAAGATACAAGGCGTGTGAAGGGAATGACACAAGCAGCTCCAGTTTCAAAATGGTCGAAACAGAATTTGCACACTGTCTATGGATGAGAAATATGAGATTTTCTGAAAAAAGGAGTAGAGATTCAAATTCCACTACAATAGAGAGTGTTCGAGCCCCACCCAACATTATTGGTCTCAGATCTACTGTGAAAGAGAGTATACAAGGACCACCCAGGAATCAATTGTACATGGTAAATAAAAAGCAGGTTACAACAAAAAGCTAAGGAAAAAATTGAGATCTCAATGTCCTTCCATGTATCTTGAGTACATCACAAAGAGAAAGAAAAATCGATTTACCAACTTTTTTAATGGTACTAGCTATGGATCACTTGAAGATGCTGGTGTTGAAGGCTGACCAAGAATTACTCTTGTCTACCCCTCTTTGCATATCTCTTAGAGCATCACCAAATGGCTTAGACTTCATAATCTTGTGAAGTGATCCTCTCCAGTTATTCCACAACCTTCTCATGTGTTGAAGGACATGTTCTTTCATGGAATTCATGTCATCAAAGCTAAATTTATCATGTAATATTTCACAAGTACCATTAAACATAAACTCAATTAGTTAATAGCTCTCTATATACTTACCTTAATAGTCCCACATGTTTTGCATAATTATAGCACATTGATCTTACTTTTTTCGTATAAGAAGTCAAATATAAAGCTAATAAAACTCTACATATACTTACAGTTACAGAATCCCAAATGTGCTCTAGATGATTTTCTTTAATGTTTGTCCATGAGCGCACCCGTAATAGGCACATACTATGATCACGAATTAAAATACCCAAGTGTCTCACAAATGAGGCATAATTTTTTCCAACAACTCAATTTTGGTAAAAATTGATATTTAACTTTTCTCCAAGTTTGAGTCGGTCAACATTTTTACGGTCTCAATTTAACATTTTTAGTATTTTCGGACTCACATGCACTTGCGAATTAATTCAGACAAAAAGAAGAGTTTCATCACACCAAAAGCAAACAAAAAAATGGAGACGGTAAATACTTATTTCATTTATTTTAGCATCCTCCATTAGTTCGAATTCTGGAGAGCAGGGAGCATTACCTTCAGCTAGATCAAAACCAGGAGTACATGATCAATATTATGTACTTGATCATTTCTATAGGATGTTGATGGATTGATGTTTAGAATTTTGCTTCTTGGAGTTCTTTCTTCAGCCCTAACTCTAACAGATCCCAAATATTGTATGATTATCCCTCGTCCCCTAACTACAAAATCACCAGGTGGAAGGTATGAAAGTTTATTAGGCTTGACAGTTGATTTTATTCTAGAGTTTAGAATTTTTTATGGATCCAGGTAAACTTGTAGAAAAAGCACTTCTTTTTTAGTTCATCCAATAATAGAATAGTCATTGAACAAGTTTTCAATACTACATCTCTTTCTAGAGGTACAACTACCAAGATAAAACAATATTAAATAGAATAAGAATAGCTTTCTAGAATGAAAAATGACATGAAATTGACATTTTGAAAGTGCTTGATTTCTACATATCTACAACCTAACTAATCTACATCTCAAAATAGTGACAGGGATGTGGTCATCCCAGGAATAGAATATAAGTTTCAAAAAATGTATATTATAAAGCATATTTAAAAAAGAAAAATAATTAATTACAAGTCACTCAAAATATACGCATAAAATCATAGCAAGCTTCAATGTTTTTAAGCACAATTTACATGTAAATAAATAATATTACGTTACTACTTATAAAAAGTCCATATATATGAACAACCAAAGAATCACCAAGAAAATAATTGAAAAATGAAATTAAAACCATAGTATACTAAAATAAGAACTCAAAAATAAATTCGAAGTCACAACTGCCTCCTAGATTCCTTGAAGCTATGATGAATCGTCAGACTCTTTATCACCAACATCAAAAGAAACACGAGCTTAATCCTTTTGTACAATATGACATCCATTTTTGCAAGATCATCAGCATAAAACACTTGTGATGCTTTATTGGCGAAAATAAAAGGCTCATTTATTTTAAAAAATCGCTTTCGTTGACACTTATAAAGTCATATTCATCTAATTTAATCAATATTTTTATTCTCTTCATTTGTCTCACCAACTACAACCACCCCACAATGTTGAGTTCTCAAACGTTTATTCTAATCTCGCACATGAAACCTATATTTATTAGTAGCATAGCTTTTAAAACATGTCACATATGGAAGAGGACCAAATGATAATGAGAGCAAATCCATTATTTTCTTACGCTTATCGTGCTTGTGAAATTCTTGAACCTATAAAATTTAGCTAGATTGCTCAGAAAATATAATTCATAAATTGATTTTAGATATACAAGGCTTAACTTCTCACCTTTAGTTTTAACCAACTAAGGAATCGTCTATTCCATTCAATCTCTGAATAATTTTTTGATGTATCAATTGAAATTTGTTAAAATTCTCTGCTAATAATTTATATTTCAGTATAACATGTCATTTTATGTAAGGCTATGAAAAATATAAGAGTAACTTATTATAATGAGCCATTACTTACTCGAGAAATGGTTTAATTTCATCACAGTTCCTCAAAATATAAAAATGTGCAAGCTCAAATTCACTTTAATCATGATTGACTTGTTTGTCACCCCTCAAACTTTTTCTAGGTTGAAAAAAAATTCTAAACCTCCATCAGATTCAATAGAACCACCATCATAATTCCTTTTGGAGAGATTAAATTTTGTATCCATCGTATGCAAATACCTTAAACATAAGTTCATACATTCAAATGCTATATATCCTTGTGCAATACAACATTTTAGGCGAGCCATGTTACGAATAAATGATTTTAGAAAGTATAGCCATCTCTCCATCGGATACATCCATTAATATTGGATAGGCACAACAATCTTAGCATTATTAGCTAAATGAATTGACAAGTGGACAATGATATCAAAAAATGCACGAACGAAAACCTTTTCTAACTTCCACAAATTGATTGGAATTTGGGCTTCTATTTTCTCTATCTCATCTACTCTTAAACATTTTGCTCCAAGTATATTTAAAAATATTGAAAACTCAATAAGTGTTTCAAGCACAGATTTGCAGAGCATACCACATAAAGCAAGTGGAATTAAATGTTGTAGAATAACATGGCAATCATGGCTTTTCAATCCTGAAAGTTTCCAATCTTTAAGGTTGACACACTGAGAAGTATTTAATGAAAACCCTTCTGGGACCTTTAAATTCTTTAAGAAACTGAAGTATTTTGTTCTTATGTGTAGGATATAATGTGTAACTTGCAGTAGGAAACTCATATTTATGTCCTTTTTCTATCAGATGCAATTCCTTCTTTATGTTCGTTGCTTGCAAATCCAATTGCGAATTCAAGGTATCTTTGGTTTTTCCTTTGACATTTAAGATTGTCCCCAATATATTATCACAAATATTCTTCTCAATGTGCATCACATCTAAATTATGTCGCAACCATAGAGTATTCCAATATGGAAGATCAAAGAAAATACACTTGTTGTTCCAATTATCACCTCTATTCGCGTGTGATATTTTAATTTTCTGCCTTGGATCCTTTGATTTTGTTAGACCTTCTAAATCACCTACTTGATAAAGTATATCATTACGAGATAACATTTTCGGTTGTAATCTTTGCTCATGTGTGACATCAAAGGAATCATTATCTTTCCTCCATTTGTGATTATGAGGAAGAAAGCATCTATGGTTCATATAACAATCCTTTTGACCTTTTACCAACCTAGTTGAAAGAGTTTCTTTGTTGCAACACGGGTAAACCAATTTTCCTTTTGGTAATCCATCCTGACAAATTTCCATATGCCAGAAAACCATTAATGGTCCATAACAAAGCTTCATGTAGCATAAAATTTTGTTTAGCTGATGCATCAATGCTCTCAACTCCAGTTTTCTATAATTCCTTTAATTCATCTATCAAAGGTTTGAGATAAACATCAATTGCATCCCTGGGACAATCAGGACAAGGAATAAGCATCGATAAATAAAATTTTCTTGTTTCATGCATAACCAAGGTGTCATATTATAAGGAATAAGTACGACAAGCCAAATGCTATATGGAGTTTCAAATTATTAAATGGTTGAATACCATCACTAGTAAGTCCAAGTCAAATATTACGAGGCTCAGTACCAAAAGATGGATGAAGTTCATCAAGTCTCTTCCATGCAACTAAATCAGTTTGGTTCCTCATTATTTCATCATCAACTCTTTCATCATGATGTCATCTCCTCAAAGAAGATGTTTTTGAGGACATTAACAATCTCTGAAGTCTGTCTTCAGAGGAAAATAACGTAAAGTCTTGCATGATATGTTTTTACCACGTTTAGATTATGTTTCCCCATTGTGTTTATTCTTCTTCCATCTAGATGAACCACACACTTTGAAAAATTTGAGAATCTTATCATCCTTCCAGTATAACATGAAATTGTTCTTACACGCATCTATATTCTCATAAGAAAGTCCAAGATTTGGAGTTACCTTCTTTGCCTAGTAACATGAATTTGACAAGTTTGATTCATCAGGCAATAAATCTACCGTTAGCATCTTCAACAACATTTTGAATGAAGCGTTAATACATTGGCCAATAGTTTTAATATGAAGTATCTTAATCAAAGATGAAAGTTTTCTTCCTTTTGAAACCTTTATATAATGATTATTTATAATAATTTAATAGGCCGTATAATGGTTTTGCTTTAGGATTCGGTTCTTCCTCAACAAAATCATCACTGTTAGTATTCATATTCTCTTCAGTTAAATTGGGATGTAAATCCCTTAAAAGATCTTGCATTTCATCCTCATCATCATCATTTTCAATGATATTTTCCTCTACGGATTAAGAATCCGCCTCTTCCTCACCTAACCTCTCCCTATGATGATACAAAAAAGTATAACCCTAAACTATTCCATACAGTAATATATGTGACCTAACCATCTCAAGAGTTTTGGAAAACGAATAACAACACCTGATGCAGGGACAACGTATTTCTTGTGTTTCTCCCAATTTCGTAAAAGCATAATAAAAAAATTTCTCCACCCCAATGATGTAAGCATTATCAAGTCTATCTTGAACAAGTTGCATCCATTCCTTATTAGGGTCCCTGATCTTCATTCACTAAAAGAAATTATAAATACACCAACATAAGTAAGAACTAGCCATTTATTGTTTAAAAGTTGAAGAAGACCTTCTGAATGATTCTAGGTAAGTTATAGAAAACAAAATTATGGAATTTTTAATTATTTATTTGTATAGTGATTGCTTTGATTATAAATGTATACTTTGTTCATGTATATTTACAAAATTAGGCAGTTATTATGTCTTATTAGGGAAGGGGTGCTTTTTTTTTTCCAGCTTAAAAGCTCTTTTAAGTTGACCAAAATATTTTACCTTTTTGCCCTTAATTCTTTATTATTATTATTATTATTATGATTTATTATTATTATTATTATATATATTAGCATTATTAATATTTTATTATTATTATAATTTTTATTATTATTATTTATTTTATTACTCTTTATTCTTATAATATATTATAATTATGTATTATTATTATACATATTTTATTATTATTAATTCTTTTAATATTATTTATTATTATTATTATATATTATATATCATTATAGATTATTATTAATTATTATTATTATTATATTATTATTATTATTATTAATTTCATTATTTTTTCTTATTATTATTATTATTATTATTTATTATTGTTATTATTATTATTTTCATATTATTTATTATTATTATTATTATTATTATTTATTATTAATATTAATATTTTACATATTATTATCATTATTATTATTATAATTTATTTTATTAATTATTATTATTATTGTTATTATTTATTATTTTCATATTGTTATATTAAAGACAAAAGAGTATATTTCTTGTTTTTATATGTGTGATTGTTGAATAAATTCTCAAACTTTTATGAATTTTCCTATTAAATGCATAATAATTAACAAAAGAAGATTCTATAATATCATTTTATTATTATATAGTCGCTACTAAACACATAAGGACAATGGAAAATACTTTATCATCTATTAGCAATAGTAGTAGGTTAGCAAAAAACATGTAAAGCAACAACTTAGCAGGTAAAGCAACAACTTAACACCTAACAAAAGCTGCTAGAAACAAATAAGTCAACATAGTCCAGCTGCAACAATATTTTTTTATCATATTCTTAAGCAGGACAACAACATGTTGTATACTTTATTTTTAAAAAAACACATAGCACTTTGTAAGCACTAATAGAACATATCAAGTTATGATAATAATACAAGTTTTAATAATCCATTGGCTTAGACAGAAAGAACTAGAGGATACACATTATGAAATATACTCATTAACAATTTCATATTCCTTCTATAACAAGGCCTCCAACTACAATATCCATAACTAGCATTAACCTATGTATACTCATTAACCAAAGTAGGTGAACAAAAAAAAGTCAGCAGGATACTAACATGGAAAGGAAAAATCATAAAGGAACACAAAGGCCTGCGAAAAAACATGAACTTACTCTTTTAAGGATGAACTCTTGTAGGGACCTTAGACGACAATTTAACAGCCAGTACTGTAGTTGATTCATGATAAAGACAAGGGGGCAACCTTTTAAAACTCTAGGACACCCGTTCTCCCCCAATACCGTTATTTGAACTAAGTAAATCTAGATAAGCGCTAATGTTGTGATCTTTATCATCAATAACATCATTCTAGACATGGATGACATAGAACATTTTAGTTTTTCCAAATCACTTTCTGCTAAAGTTGTTTATTTTAGCCCCATTATGCCCAAACTCTTCCACCGCTTGGGATTAACTACTTTCTTAGCACATTTCTACAAAATATTACACTATTGAACTCACCAGTTGTATTTCATGTTTGTTTTCCTCACTCACTCATCACGGATAATAAATATACCACACACAACAAGCAAGAACGAAAAACCAATATGAAACCCATTATTTGGAAAAACAAAAAAGAACGAAAAAAACCCATATGAAACCCATTACTGGGAAAAACTAAAATTGAACAAAATCAAGCATTCCACAAAGCAATTCATAGTTCTGATAATAAAAATAATACCTTTAAGAGATTGGAACACCAAGATAGGGTCTGAATAAATTCAACCGATGCAAAACCACAAAAAATTGTAAGAAGAGAACGGTGAATTTTATGTTCTGTAATCAAACAATTGAGATGCAGATAATCTTTTTGTAACATTTAGCAGAGAAACGCGGGTTACCACCATGCTAATTTTCCTCTAACAAACCTTGGAGAGACTCACCAAATTATATTTCTTCTTCGCTGATTTTCTTCAAAAATAACATGGGAGAGAAGGTGGTTTTGAAATTTCCTCCAACACTCCCTGATTTTTCTCTAACCATCTTTCCCGCTAACTGTAGATGTGGAGAAAATTGAGCTTATCGATATGTTCTTTTCTAAGAGAAAAATATTGGATAGGGTAAGATTTTTGTTTAATGAAATGGGAATATTGAGGAAATACACAATACACCTACGTATATACGTAGGCAATATTGTTTGTTTTGGGAATAAAAGTGGAAGAGTGGTGACACGTGTTTGGATGAAAAATAAAGAAATAATGAAATTAAAGTTTTTATAATTTTTATGTATATACGTAATTATTAGTTAAGTTGATAAAAATTCTTTTAAATTTAAGATATTAAATATTTAAGTATGTAAATGATTGATAATTTGATATAAATTCTTTTAAACTCTAGAAAGTATATTAATACCTATTATATTAAATTAAAAAAGGGACCTTTAACTACGGGAAAAAGTTTGTGTCGCTAAAAGTACACTTTTAATGACTAGATTCATATCTCTTCATTAAGAATTAGTCATTAATAGTACATTTTCTTGTAGTGTGATCCTACCTTCCCTATGTGGGAGGAACAGTCCTCACTACTAGTTCACTAGGTGCAAAGCTAGAGTCCTTTTTTGATTTTTGATATCACAATAGGAATTTCATGAGAACACCTTTCAGTACAACCTTCATATGTGAGATTATAACATTAACATCATTATATCATAGTAAGGCACATAGGTACTTGATAACCAATCTTATATCATTATATCTTAAGCACGACCTCACAATCGAATAATCAAGATATTTCAATTCAAAATCATACCAACCCTAATCAAACATATCATAAGGTATACTTCAATATAAATTCATCTGTAAACACAAGTAATCATAATGGAAGTAAAGGTTTTAGATCACAAGACTTACCCCAATCTCATTCACAAGCCATCATCATAGTCTTGACATAAAACAAGTCAATTCATTCCAATAATAGGTATAATAACATCCATAAATGTTAATTAACATAATAATAAAGTCAATTGAATCACTACACATCAATTCATCACTAGTTCATAACCTAGGGTTAGGGACTTGGGTCAATTTTAAGTTCTACTTCCCCAACTAGTTTAACTAATCAATAACTAGCATAATTGAATCATAGTACATCATAATATAAGTTCAATAACCAAAACAAACCATAAACAATACTTTCTAGAAAGTCAATTTCGTAATAGAAAGAAACCCACATGAAACTCATATTTTTGAAATCAATTTTGCTAGAATCCTTTGGGAAAGGAATCCAAAAGGTTAAATAATACCATAACTTATTAATTGCTGAAAAATTATTGATAAAAGTAGTCTTATTGATTCCCTAGAACCCTCCTTTACTTGATCTACTATTGTTAAACCCTCAAAATGAGCTAGGTTTAATTAGAGCCTAACATGTTGGTTATGAGTTTATTAAGTCCTTAAGCGATTAATTAAGTTTTTAATAGTATGTATAATTTATATTAAGAAGTTTAGAGGTCACACGTTAAAGAACGTCCAAGACGTTCGATAGTTGGTCTTTAGACGTGCTAGTGAATCCTTGTATGTTTGCCTTGTTTTTATGTGTTATTTGGAGTTGAAAGACAGTGTAGTTCACCAATTTATCCTAATGAAAATGTTAAGGGTCAAAATTTCGAGGTACGACGGCTCAAGGATTTCCCTAGGGGTCAATGAAGGGACCCCAATTTTTGGCCATGCAAGCTGCCAAAAATTAGGAGCAGCTCTTCGATGCGGACTTGTTCCCCAATGATAATTCCACAAAGATAAGTAATGTTTGACTTGTATGAAGTGTTCCAATCAATGTAAGGGTGTTTTCGATATTTTTGGGGTGTATTATATATAGATTTTAGGTCATTATACACTCATTCCCCCATCAGAAACCCCAACACTCATTAAGAAATCAAAAACCCCAAAACACTTTCTTCTTAAAAAAACACCCCAAAAGCCTGCATGGAAGTCGAAGCTCAAAAACAAGTTATGGAGGTGGATTCTTGGAGCTTTCTTCTCTGATTTTCATGGGATTTCTATTGTAAAAGGTATGATGATCCTTCATCCATATATAACCATTAATCTATGGAGTCCTTTCAATGCTTTTTCTAAAAATGATTCTAAGTCAAAAATTCAATATTTCAAACTAGCCAGTTCATTGTTAAAGTGTTTCAAAATCATTTTAATGATTAATATATGTTTAGTTACTGATTTTATGATGAATTTTTATCCAATATTATGAAGAACCAATTATCCTCCTAATTTATGAAATTGGCCTATAATGTAGGTTTTGTGATATTAATTTAATGTTTATAGATTTTTTATTAGATTTTAGTAAATTTCTTATTGCTATTAGTATCTATATCAATCGAATATGAATTTTTGATAAATGATCAAAGATGGTAATTAGCTTGGAGATTTGGTAAGTTGACCTATTTCCTCTTTTTAGCATAGAATGTACATTCAATTGTGGTGATTGGTATGTTCCACTTATGATGGTGGTGTTTACATTCTTGTACATCTTTATGCATTATGATCATGGCCTTGAAGGCATTAGATGCAATATGAAATGATATAATAATTCTATTTGTAGAAAACTGAAGGATTTAGCCTTCATTCTAATATCATTATTTAAGTGAATTGGTGTTATGTTATGTGAAGTATATTAGTAGTATCTCACACTAGTTGCATTATTTAGGTGTGTGGATGATGTAATGCATAGATGTGATGATTATGTTAGGGATAGGTGTGGTCTACGAAGATTAATGTTGATGAGTACTCTTATAGAATGACCCCCACCTATATGAACCCTATAGGAATGTGTGATCAAAGTATGATAGAAGTCTTTTATTCTAATGATTGAGTATTTTCTAGTATCCTATGATATAATGTGAGTGTGTGTAGTCTATAGTCCTTAATACAATATATGTGTGTCAATCTTAAGACTTGAGGAATCTTGTACATACGTTGTGATCTTTAGTGGGTGGCTTCCTAAAAGCTATATAATAGCCATTATGTGATCATGTTGATCAATGTACATACACACATCATGATTAGGGTATATTTTTGATGAATAGGGAAAGGGAATTTCTCCTATGCATCATTATCTATTTTTATGCATGTAAGTATAAGATTAAAGAAGTTATGATCATGTGTTACTAGAGTTTTTTATGTGATGTATATCTCACATTCTATGACACACAAATGATGTATGATTGTATGAATATGTGAAAAGGAATTCTCACAAGAAGTAGGGTCTATGATGAAAGAAAATTCTCATCTTAGAATCCTTTGACTTATATGATTTATAAAGAAGCAAGATCCTAAGCCTTCTTTATGAATTATTGCACTAAAGGCTTGAATATATTAAAAAGTAAGTTAGAGCCTAGCACGGAGTGAACATGACAAATAAGAGTGGGATCTTTACGTTAGTAAGTCTGACTTCCAATAAGAGAACCTTCATGTTTAGCAAGTCCGGGTTCCCAACATTGATGATGTCTCATGATATGTAAACCTTCACGCTAGTAACTCAAGATATCTAGAATCAATCTCAAGGTTACATAACTACATTCTCCCGTAGGTTATAGCTTGTGGATACCACTTATAGACTATCTCGATTGGTTGCACCTTAGGCAAGTGTTAACCCACTCTTTTTGGTATGGGAGTAGAACACCAAATTCCATGTAGCTCACATGTTGTATGTAAGTTATGGATAATTCTCCCGAAGGTTAATAAATCAACTAACATAAGAATATGAATTCTTATCTAAATTCCTTGAGGAGTGTACTTAACATAGGCTGGACTGTGGACCTTATATATGCACTAGGGTAGATGAATTTAAGAAAGAAAAGGAATGAATTCTCTTACGAAGTTAAAACTTATGTTATGTATGAATTGTATGAATGCATGTTAAGTGACTTTTCTATGTCAAGATATGAATTATTAGTATGCATGTTTATTGCACTAATTTCTTCTTACTGAGTTTACATAGTATATGTGGAGGTATGGGACTCTATGTGTACATTGCACAAGGAAGATTGTTAAGGGGTTGTGAGAGTGGTTTACTTATGATATGAACTAAATTAGTTATGACTAAGGTTGTAGTTATGGAAAGAGTGCTTATTTGATGCTATGAAGTATGTGGCCTTATGTCTAGTTATAAATAATGTGTTATGACTTGTTAAGTATGTAACGCCTAGTCTAGGGTTACTTCTTTGGTAAATATGGTGGAAGTAGTATTATGGGATGCTATTTACATTTCACTTGTGTGACTTAGAAGTTGTGTGAGGTTATGGTCTTTATGTGAAGTGTTGTCTATGATGTGCTTATGACTTATGAATGTATGTGGTTGTGTTTATGAAGCATATATATGAAAGGCTATTGTAAGGTGACCTCAAGGTGATACATTCTACTAAGTACACTTGAGGGTTACTTAAGGAAAAAAGAAACATAAAAATAGAAGTAATGTATTCTATGTATTAAATATGACTCAAAGAATGATAAATGTTTTTATGTTCTATTATGAGTAATATTCATGTCTATATGATGTATGTGATGTATATTGAGATTATATCTACCTATGCTCATGAAGTTTACTACAAAGACATGTTGAATGATTTAAAATGAAATGCCCTTTTTAAATGCATGTTTTTGCATGGGTACCATACTTAGTGCATTCTTGTACAAATAGCATTGTTGTTCATCTTTTTCAACAAAGTGTAGGTGGTTGTCTCCTATGTGAAGATTTTGGTTATATATTGCAAGTTCAAGTAAAGGGACCCTTATGATTCAAGGGTTTTCTAGGTCAAGATGTTCCTTATGTTTATGTAGTAGATAAGGCTTATATTTTATGTTGATAAGGGACTTGTCGCCATTCTATTATTTTCAGTTGTGTATTTAAATGGAAAAGAGACTTCGAAGACACTTATGCTATTTTATATATACATATATATATATATACACACAAATATATATATATATATATATATGTATATATATATATGATGTGATTATTCTAGCATATGATATGCTCTGAAAAGTTTTAAATTTTTCATAATTTTATTATAATTATTCAATGAAATATGTAATAACTCCATAATGAATTAGGTGAAGTTAGAGCTT